TGTAACATTTCTCTTGGTGTAGTTTCGAGACCCTTCGTGGTTGGGGACAGTGTGGCACTGTTCCACATCACTGTACCTTGGCTCTTGGGGTTTGTAGGAGCTATGAGTCATTCCCAACTCGTAACTTCTTCCTAATTTGTGTTCTAAGACTATACTGGCTGCCACAGTGCCGTTCGTTCAAACCGACGTTGTGTCGTCCATTCGTAATGAAATCGTGCGGTCTAAATTGCCGGTTGTAGGCGACATTAAGACACTCCAGATCCAAGTTGAATCAGGATATTTGCAGCTGTGACCAGAACGCTATGAACGTTTAAAGCCGCTGTGCTGAAATCCGACTGTGCACTCTTTCGTTTTAGGCACATTCAAGCCTACTGTGACTATAACATCAACCACCAGTAGGAAGTAGCGCTCCTGGTCTGTTCCACTAATGGGGGATGGGCCCCACACGTCCATGTGGAGAGTCTGCAGAGGAGCAGTGGTCGGAGGAAACTCGGAGGAGTGAGGAGCGGCGCGCTGCCGCCCCTCGACGCAGGGAAGGCACGGCGGTGCAGGCGAGCGCGGGAGGGAGGGCAGGGACCTGGGAAGCCCAGAGACAAGGAGACGGGAGTGCATGCTGCGGAGACACGGCAGCGAGGGTTGACCGAGATGGTGGTGCCAGAGGAGAGTCTGGTGGGAGAGTACCCGACACGAGCACGATGCTGCAAGCTGACCTGACGCAGACACCTGGCTGGACGCAGCCACCTGACCTGGCTCAGCCACCTGTGCAGACGCAGTGGTCAGTGTGTACAGACTAGACCCAGGCCGTCTAGTGAACGTAGCAAGGTGACGGCCAGTCCTGGAGCACGTACAGATCGCCACACGCTGCCCTCCAGGAGTAAAGGTATCAACCCAGACGTCCTGAATGGCAGCGGTGCTCACCAAGTTCGTAGAGAACGTGGGGAGGTGGAGACCTGACCGAGCACCGGAGGGGACTGTTGGACACGGGAGGACAGTAGAGGCTCCTGCGACTACTGGGCCCCCAGTGGGGTCACCCAGTGATACTGGTACCGGTGCAGCAAGTGGGGTGAGTGTGGTGCAATCACGAAACAAGCAACGAGACGCGCCTGAGTCAAGTATGAAAGTGTGCAGGGCCTCAGCAGAGGCAGCAGACTCACTAGCACCTGTGACAGCAGACTCATTAGCACCTAGAGCTGCAGCAGACTCACTAGCAGCAGACTCACTAGCACCTGTGACAGCAGACGCGCTAGTACCTAGAGCTGCAGCAGACGCACTAGTACCAGGAGCAGTAGCATCCACACCGGCATCACAAGGCACACACGAGTAACACGCATGATCACTAAGCTCAGTCACATACATAGCATAGATAGCCTTGTTGATCTGAACAAATTCAAGAGCATAAACATCTACTCCTATCCCCTGCAGTTTCAGCCAGTTGGAGGCTGCCAGCTCATCACCGTACTCATCCACCCAAGCATCCTCAAGACGGCCGAAGCAGTGATACTCAGTGTTCGGCTTCCCGCGGGTCTGCCCCTTCAACTTCCCTGTGCGCCTGACGTACGGGCAGCGGCCAGAGCCCCCAGAAGAACCACGCTGGACAACCCACTCACGAAGCTGCTGAGGGGTGGGGTTGTCTGGGAGGCGCGGCAGCTGCTGTCCACTCCCAAAGCCTCCACCGTCACGTGCAGAAGCGCCACGGCCTCCACACTTGCCAACTCCACCCCGACCTCCTCCACCGCCCCCGCTGCCTCCACCACTCCAGCCGCCTCCACCACCCCCGCTGCCTCCACCACCCCCACCGCCTCCACCACCCCGTCCGCCTCCACTGCCTCCACCCCCAGAGCCACCCCCACCGCCTCCACCCCCGCCACCACCACCCCCGCCACCTCCACCGCTGGTGCCACCCCCACCACCCTTACCCCCTTTTCCCTTGCTGCTGTAGCGCAGCAAAGGTGAGTCATGAGATCAGAAACAGTGTGAAAATCAGCTAGCTCATGGAAGAGGTACGGTAGCATGAGGCAGCCTAGGGCAGCAGTAGCGGGGGAGGAGTAACGGGCGACAACGGCGTCATAGAGGGCTTTCGTCGTCTTCTGCTGGCTAAAGTGCGCCTTCTCTGCTACTGGAAGGTGGTTGCGAACAGCAAGGCAGGCAGTGGCATCACGCATGAGCCACTTCGAATGATCTGCGTGCGCTGTGTCAGCTGGGGCTAAGAGGGATCCCTCTATGTGGGCGAACAAAGACACGCCATCCCTAGACTCGCTCGGTAGGTACAACTGGAGATCATCAAGCCAAATGTCAGAACTAATTGCACGACCCTCCGCATCGAAGCTAAGGACTGAGAACGTGGCCATAGGAGCAGTAGCAGCAGTAGCAACAGTAGTAGCAGCTGCAGTAGCAGTAGTAGTAGCAGTAGCAGCAGGACGGCAGTGCGGTTCAGTAGGGGCACGGCAGCGTGGCTCGGGCAAGGCGGCGCGGCTCGGCAGGGCGACGCGGCGCAGGCTAGGCAGTGCGGCTCGGCAGGGCACAGCGCAGCAGCGCGTGTGGCAGCAGCAGCAGGAACACTTGCAGCAGCAGCAGCGCTCAGCAGCAGCAGCGTTTAGCAGCAGCCGACAACAACAGCTCAGGCGGCAGCAACAGCGCGGCAGCAGCAGCACAGGCTGCAGCAGCAGCGCAGGCGGCAGTAGCAGCTCTGGCGGCAGCAGCACGTTTGGCAGCAGTTGCACAGCAGCAGCAGAGCTGGTGGGTAGGGGCTCGGCAGGGCAGAGCGCAGCTGCAATAGCGCTTAGCAGGAGTAGCAGCAGCAGTAGCAACAGCGCGCTTAGCAGCAGCAACAGCGCATGCAGCAGTAGCAGCCACGTAAGTGACAGCAGCATCGGCGCTCAGCAGCGCGGACGAGCAGGGCGCAGGCAGGGTGCGGGTGGGTGCACGCGTGCAGGGCGCAGGCCGGGCGCAAGGCAGAGCGCGGGCCTAGCAGGACACGTGCGGGTCGAGCGCGCGTAGGGCTCGGGCAGTGCGCGTGCGGGCGGCGCGGGCGGGGCACGTGCGTGTGTGCAGGTGGCGCGAGCAGGGCGCGTACGGGTCGCACATAGGTGAGGTCAGGGCGATCGCGCTAGGCAGGGCGGCACTTGCGAACAGACGGTCGCAATTTCGTGGGGCGGGGCAGAACGAACGGGCAAGATACAAGCTAACAGTGGGCCCTTTAAAAAAAAAAAAAAAAAAAAGGCCTATGGGACCCGCTCATAATACCATGTTAGAATCTAGTCTAGACTAGGTGAATAGAGTAGAGAGGAGAAGTGGTGATCGATTAGGTTGAGAGGGGGATACAAGAGTGTCTAGAAATATTATGTACCCTCTAAGGATAACCCCTACATAGCCTAGCAATCTAGAAAGCATAAAATGTTTTGACAACGACATGTAGTACTACCGCGTTAGCTCATACAGAACACGCAGGTCAACAGTCGCGGGTCAATTGTCGCTACTGTTGACCAACCTGGACTGAACTGTTTCAACTCTCGCAGCTGTCTCGAGTTACGAGCTGCAACGAGGTAACCATGGGGATCGCAATGGTTACTGCTACTGTAGCGATACCTATATTGCCGTTAATATAAGAATGTACCCCTTACAGTACATGGATAGCTAGGACTATATATTGTAATGTAATTTTTCTTATTATGTCATTTACATTCACTATGATTAAGGTCAACCTATAAAGACTTATTATGATGTCTCTTATTCTAGCGGACTTATCCTATCCGAAAATCCTTCATTATTCTAACAATATCAACAGTTTTTTTCTATATATTTCGAGCCCAGAGGTATAGAAAAAGAGGCAAAAACGCATTCTGGTCTTTATGATCACTTCGTTGTTTCATATTCCAATAATCGTTGTCTCAACATTTGAGTACATGCGATAAGACAAGTTCCTCTGAGCTGATTAGTTGCGTAATGGCAATAACGCGTCCACGTATAGCGCCAAATGGTTGTGTCATCCTCCTCCCACCATGACAAGCAGGGTTCGGGTTTCTTGCGAGGTTTATGCGCCACCAGCAGGAGCAGGAGCATGCTCTGTGAGCATGATAGGGGCTTGGCATCCCTCGAGCTTTTGTTGGAAGCAAGCGGTCCTCCCCTTCCCCCTTACCCCGCCAACCATCACATTCGACCCAAAAAGGTGCCACTGCCACCAGTACCTGGGTTCGGTCCATTCATGATCAGTCCATGATCCATCCAATCGTGTCAGATCATCCCACCTTTTTCGTGGATTAGCCTGTTTTAGCTTGCTGCTCAGAATCTCGGTCGAACGTTTATCGTATCGCAGCGAGGGAGCCATGGGCAATCAGAAGGCGGTGCGGTTGAAGCACAAGGGCGTGGATTTCAAGGTACGATCGGCCGTTAAAATTACCCGTTGCTATGGTCGTTACGATCAATCCTTAGGTCGGTCGTAAGGGCCGCCTGGTAGATCAATCCGTCCTTAGGGATCGCGTGTAGGACCGTTAGCGTCTCGTCGTACCCTGCATTTCGTCACGGAGAGCTTCCTCGTTGCTCGCGGATGTGGCGCCTCGCGTCCTTCGCTCTACGTGCGCGCTTTTCTGCGTGGAGCGGATGTCGCGCTCATGCGCACTGCGCACTGCCGTCTCGCCGCACCGTGCGCCACATTGCGTGTCGCCACACAGCTTGCCTGCACCGGACTAGACCGGACTAGACCGCCGCCTTGATTTCGCCCGCTGCCGCTACAGTCGGCGATCCGTGGACGACCTCGTCTCACCCGCCTTAATCCGACCGCCCGTGCATCAGCTCTCTTGCCGACCGATTTAACGCGCGCATTAGTTCTGGTAGTGCCGCGGCTGCATGAACGCGCGGACAGCCGTGTACCACCCCTTGCGTCGCCACTCGCATCGATTCTTGGTAGTTCCGCCTCTCGTATCCACCCCCTTCACCCCCCTCTTCCACTCTTCTGCTCTTCCTCTATCCCTCCGCGCGCGTCTCGTTCCGCGCGCGCATGGCAGAAAGTGCGCAGCAAGGTGGGGCGCAAGCTACCGCCGCCGTCCAACGAGACCAAGACCACCGTCAAGGCCAAGAGTGAGTGAGGCGAGAGTCAACACACTGACACCCCCTCTCCCTCGCTCCCACTCCCCCCCTCCTCCTGACTGCTCGTTCTCCCTTTCTCATTCCTCTCGGCTCTCCCTTCCCGCTTCACGCTTCTTGTTAATCCAGCAATCCTGTTTCCCTTTCTCTCCCGTTCCCAAAACGCCCTTCTCACGTCAAAAACCCGCCAATCCGCTTTCTAGGCGCCTCCCTCCATCTTCCAACCCCCCCCCCCACACCTCCCCCCCCACACCCCCCTCCCGCAACACCTTTCAGCCATCGTGCTACCAGGGCAGAAGCTGCTGGACGATCGGCTTTTGAGGCGCGCGCCTCAGAAGTCTTTCCTTCCCTCCCCCCACACCCCTCTCCCTTTGCCCATTTCCCCCCTCCCCCCAGCCATCGTGCTACCGGGCCAAAAGCTGCTGGACGACCGGTCGCAGGCGGCGGTATCACAGCGAGGCCACACGCTGCCGGAGCTGCTCGCCCAGTCCGGCCACTACAGCGACAAGGTTCGGCAAGGTAGGCTCGGCAGGATGAGGCTTGTCAGGGCAAGGAGCATGGGAGGGCATGGCAGGGGTGTTCACTTGCTTGTGCATGCTACCACACAATCTTCACTCCTGCCACTCCATTCACACCTCCCCTCTCCTCTCCTCTCCTCTCCTCTCCTCTCCTCTGCTCTCCTCTCCTCGCTCTTTCGGCCAATCAGAGTCGCTCGTTCGCCTGCGCGAGCTGCTGGCAGCCAATCCCGATGAGCTGAGGCGCCATGCTGGCACCATCCTCGCCAAGCTGGCGCCACGCATTGCTGACGTGGACAAGAAGACGAGAGACTCCCTCCTGCTGCTGATGCGTTCCGTGCTCTTTCCGACCATGCAGCCCGAGGTGCGGTTCGGTGCATGCAGCCTGGGTTGTGGTGCGGGGCGAAGGGGGGTTAATGTGACGGGGTTGGGAGGGATGGGGGAGTGGGGCATAGGTATGTGGGGGATGGGACTTGTAAGGAGAGGGGGCGGCCTGAAAGGAGAGGGGGTAGGAAGGTACTAGGGATGGGGTGGAGTGAGTAGAGAGGAGAGGAGTAGCAGGACGGGAGAGAAACGCAAAAGGAGACTCTAGGAGGAGGAAGGAGAGGAGGTGGAGAGGAAGGGAGGCTGGGTGGTGCTGCCAGCCATGAGCCACACGGCTGTTGGCACCGTGCCACAGAGAATTCGCGCTTCAGCTCATCCTCACCACCGAGTGTGCACAATGCATGGTGCGCACCTCATCCGTTCTTCTCCCTGCCCTCCCCCCTCCACCCCACCCTCCACTAACTCCCCTCTCCCAGGAGCGCATGGCGCCATTCTTCACGCTGCTGATGGGCCACGTGGGCTGTGCCATGACCCACGTGGCGCCGGACATCCGCCATGCCGCGCTGCCATTCCTGTCAGCGCTGCTCGCCCACTACCCCTCGCTCTTCCGCTCCTCCTCCACCGCCCAGGTGCTCCTCGCCCTCCCGTCGCCTCCCCTCGCCCCTCCTCCCTGCCATGCCCCTCGGGGATCACTGTCCTCCTCTCCTACTCGTCTCGCCCCCTCACTCCTCGGCCACTCTCGTGACCCACACCACACTCCAGCACGCTCCCCTCAACGTGAATCGCTCATCTGGAACCGCTGCCTCACAGCCATATGTCACTATCTGTTTCGCCGCTCTCTCACATTCTCTGTCACGCCAGTTTTTCCATTCACGTTCTTCCCCGCCTCCACTCCATCCCTCCCATCCACCCGGCCCCATCTGTCCCCACCCCTGCCTCCCCATGCCCCTGCCTGCTCGACGATCATCTCCCCTCCCCGCGTGCAGGTGGTGGCGCATTTCACTGACATGCTGGCCCTCGCCTCGCCCTCTGCGCGCTCCTTCCCCGCCCTCGCCACCACCCTCTCTGCCCTCACCTCCTTCCTCTCCACCGCCTTCCCCCACACCTCCCCCTCCCCCTCCTCTTCCACCGCCGTTGCTCCATCCCCCTCCGCCCTCACCTCCTCGCCCTCCCTCAACCCCCCTGGCTCCGCCCTGCCTCTCCCCACCTCCCCCTTCACGCACCCGCTCCCCACTCTCTCCGCCCCGCCCCCCCCTGCCACCACCTCGTCCGCCCCCTCCCCACCTTCCGCCTGCGCGCCCCCAGGGGAGTACAGCTGGCGCCTGGGTGTGCGCCTGCAGCGCGCCCCTCTGCTCTCCGCCCTCCCCGGTAATGAGTCTGGTTACCAGGTCCTCTGGTCGCGCGAATCCGACGGGCCAATCACAGCCCTCCACGCATACCGCTCCGCCCTCCCCCCTCCCTCCTCCTCCGCCGCCCACCTCCCCTCTCTCTCACCCTCGCCCCTCAGTTCCGGACAGGCTATGTCTGCTTCGAAAGAGACAAAAGCAGCCACAGGGCCAGGGGGACAGCAAGCGGCAGCAGCAACAGGCACGGCAGCAGCAAAGGGGGGAATGGAGGGGCTGAGTCGCCCAGCAGGCATAGCAGCAGCGCTCATCCCGCCTGTGCTTGCAGCCGTCACAGAGTGCCTCCCCCTTGCCTCCGCGCCCTCCCCCCACCTGCCCGCCCTCGCCTGCCTGCACTCCGCCCTCTCCGCCCTCCACTCCCTCCTCTCCCTCCACCCCCCCTCCCCCACCACCCTCCTCTCCTCCTCAGCCCCTTCCAACTCCTCCTTCTCCTCCTTCCCCTCCTCCCCTTCGCCCCTACTTTCGGGATTCGCGCCAACCAACCCCTCCGGATGCCAGTCATTCAACTCCATCTTTCCGCACATGCCTGAAGCTGCAGGCGCAGCAGTGCCAGCTCAGCACCAGCAACTCCAACCGCACCATCAGCACCACCAGCAGCAACATCAAAATCAGCAGCAGCAGGGGGCCTACGGGGACGCGCTGTCACGGGTGCTGCACAAGCTGGGCACCGCCTTCCCTCTGCACGCCCCTGCTGGCCTCGCCGCTGCTCGCGCCAAGGGCACCAAGGGCAGCAACGGTACCGCCGGTGGGGCAGCAGCGGCAGGTGGAGGGCAGCAGAGGGAGGTGGGCGAGCAGCTGGCGATGCTCAACGTGCTGCTCGCTGAATGCCTCTCGCTCTTCCTCCCTGCCTCCGCTGCTGCTGCTGCTGCTGCTGGGTCCGGTGCTGCTGGTGGTGGGGGGCGTGCGGGGAAGAGGAGGAGGGACGCGCGGCGGGAGGGGAGGGAGGGAATGTTGGGGGATGAGGGGGGGAAGAGCAGGGGGGCGGGGAGGGGAGCGGTGAAGGGAGAGGCGCGGGGGAGGTTGCTTGAAGGGAGCAGATTTGTGATTCGGATGAGCGGGGGGAGAGGGGATGGGGGAGGAAGGGAAGGAGGGAGCAAAGCCAACAAGGGGAAGAAGGGTGGACGGGAGAGCGAGCGGGGGAGGGGAGATACGGGCGATGGTGAGGAAGCAGAGGAGGGAGGGGACGAGGGGGGGGAAGAGGCGGAGGAGGAGGAGGAGGAGGAGGAGGCGAGGGAGGAGGCGTGGGTAGGCAGGTTGTATGATTTCATGGAAGGCGCGATGGAGGGCAAGGTGAGAGGTGTGCTGCAGGGTGAGAGGTGGGGCAGGCAGGGTGAGGCATGGGGCGTGCATGTGCGGGGAAGTAGGCGTGGGTGGCACGGCTGTATGAGTTCATGGAAGGGGCGATGGAGGGCAAGGTGATAGGCGTTGCATGGTGGGGTGGGGTGAGGGGTGGGGCGGGTGAGGATTTGGTGATGCAGAATGCATATGTGAAGCATCGAGTGAGCTGGTTTGATGGGGCACCAATATGACGACATGGAAGGGAATAGAGGCGTGCAGGGCTTTCAATCATGCTCTGCTCCTCATCGCGCTAATACACGTGTTCCCCCCCTCTCGCCTCCCGCCTCCCTCCCTTGCCCCTCGCCCCTCATTCCAGACCAGCAAAGCCCCTTCCTTCCCCCTATTCCCCATTTTCCCCTTCCTTTTCCTTTCAGCTCCTCCCTGCTCCAACCGCTTCTCCAATCCTCTCACGCCATGTTAGCGAGTCCCTTATCCGCCGCCTCCTCCCGCTCCTGCCTACCCAACTCCATTACGCCCCCTCGGCCGCCCGCCGCGCCTCGCTGCTGGGCGGCTTCTCTCGTCTCTTCTCCGTGTCGCCCGCCCGCAGCGCCACTCGGGCTGCGTGCCTAGATGTGATGTTCGGGCTGCTGCAACAACAGGCGGTGGGAGGAGAGGGGAGGGCAGGGAGCGAGGGTGGGGGAAAGAGTGAGGGGGAGAAGGCGAAGAGAAACGAAGGGAGGCGAGGAGGAGCGAGGGGGGAGGAAGGATTGCCGGAGAAGGTGGTTGCTGATTGGCTGACAGCTCTTCCCAGACTGCTCTGGGACATCGGGGCCTCCCATCCTGCCACGTCATTGGTAGGTGCTTCGACACTGGTAGGGTTACCACCGCGGCACCGACTGGCGTGATGTAACAGTGTCTGCGTTGACTGCTTCCTGGTGTCACAGTGTCACCTCTACTGCCACGGCCAACAGCATATCAAACCCCACCCCATACCACCCTTCCCGCTGCCCTGCCCCCTCCCCCTCCCACCAGATGGTGTTGCGCATCTTCTTCCGCATCGCCTCCATCTCTCCACCGCCCTCCTCATCCTCGCCCCCCTCCGCCTCCTCATCGTCCCTATCAGATCACATCAGCAGTGTGCAGCCGCTGCTCGTGCCCTTCTTTGCCGCCTCCATTGCTGCTCGCCCTGCCGCACCACACGCACCAGCCCCATCACCAGCAGCAGCAGCTCCAGCAGCAGCAGCAGCGGAGGAGGCAGCAGGGGGGCATCGGCTGGTGGTGGGGCCGTTCCTGCTGCTACCGGCGCCCCTGCAGGCGCTCTCCCTGGACCTGCTGCTCTGCTTCCCCCGCCTCTCCCTCCCCCTCCTGCAGTCCCTTGCCGTCTGCTGCATCGCCTCCCACTCGCTAAATTCGCACTCGTTAGAGTCACAAACACAGCAACAGCAGCATGAGGGGCAAGGCATCGGGCAGGACGCATCTGCAGCAGCAGCAGCGGTGCCACGTGGCATGCGGTGGTTGGCGGGGAGGGCAGTGGAGGTGGTGGGGGCGGCACACAGGAGGGGCGCAGTGGGCTTGGCAGAGTACCTTGGCTTCCTGGTCTCGCTGCTGCTCGCCCGCACTCGTGCCCACTCCCACCTGGACATCACCGCTGCGTTCCAAGGGCGAGTGAGGCGGCACGAGGAGGCGGAGAGGCAGCACCACCACCGCCACAGCCACACAGACCACGCGGAGCCCAAGGGTGAAGTGAAGGGCTCTCCACCGTCGGATCTTCCTCGGAGCAAATCAATGGGGTCGAGATGGTTCCTGGAAGATTCTTCCGGGTTGTGTCGCGAGATATGGGAGCGGGAGACGGCGGTGGGGGCAGTGTGTGCGGCGCTGGTGCATGTGCCCGTGGGAGGCAGTGTGGGGGGTGGAGGGGGCGTGGGGGGGCAGGCAGGGGCGTTGATGGACGGAGCAGCAGTGTTGGACCTCGTCTCACAGCCACTGGCTGCTGCCCTCGTGAGTGCATGCGCCCATCACTGTCTTCAACTCTCCCTCCCCTCCCCCCACCGCTGAAACACGCTTCCTTCTATGCCCACTTGTCTCGCTTCTTACCCCTTCTCGTCTGCCCTGCCTCCTCTCTTTCTCGCCAGATTCCATTCCAAATAGGCACATCCCGTCCACCTCCCCCCCTCTCCCTCCTACCCCCCCTCTTCCTCCTTCCCGTCCTCTCCCCCCTTCCCCTACTCCCCCTCCTTCCCCTCCTCCCCCTCATATCTCTCTTTCCTCCTCTCCCTCCATTCCCCCTTTCCACATGCTTGTGCCCCCCACAGAGCGGCCCCACCACCTCCCCAGCATGTCTGTAGGCCATCTTCAGTGCTGTCGAGGCCTGCTCTCAACAGTCTCTCACCCATTTTTCCTTCCTCATCCCCCCCTCTCTTGGCCCCCACAGAGCGACCCCACCACCTCTCCGCCATGCCTCTACGGCATCTTCCGCGCCGTTGCCTCCTGCTCCCACCGCTCCCACCTGCGGCCCTTCCCCGCCCCGCTGGGAACCATGCACGGTGGGGCGGAGGGAGGTGGGGGAGAAATAGGAGGAGGGAGTATAGAAGGAGACAAAGGGAAGGCTGCAGCGACAGTAGAGGCTGCAGACCTGTCAATCTCAGCCGCAGCAGCAGCAGACAGCATTGAGGAGTGTGAAGAAAGGGCACAGCCATCAGCATCAGCATTGGCATTGGCATGTGCATCCTCACAAGCACACGGGTCAACACAACGCCAGGCGACCACGTGTGTGCCTCTGTGCCTGTCAGCGCTGCTGCCAGCCAGCCTTGCTCGCTTCTGCTGCCGCCTGCTTCAGGTGAGCTCGCTGATCGTTCCTCATGTGCTTTGTCTCGTGCCTCGTGCAATTCTGCCCTCAGTGGTTACAGGTTGACGGTCTGTGCTGTGCCCCATGTGAATTGGTTGTGCATCCATCTAATTCACTTCACATCCATGCATGCGCCGTCGCCACGCTTAGACCAATTATCCCTCTATCCGCGTTACCCCGCCCCACCCCCTTACAGGAGCACCTTTCCACCCTCTACCCCTCGCTTGCATCCCCCGCGCCTGCGCTCTCCACCTCCTCGCCCTCACCCGCGCCCACGAGGGCATCTCTGCTGCGCGCGTGCCCCTGGCTGGTGCCCGCCCTGCGCCTGCTCGCTCTGCACCCCTTCCCGCTCGCAGTGTGCCCACTATACCCTCTTGTCTCGTCAATCTGTTGACCCTCTATTCCCGTTACCCCGCCTCGCCCCCTTACAGGAGCACCTCTCCACACTCTCCACCTCCCCCACCTCCCCCGCCTCACCCGCGCCCACGAGGGCGTGTCTGCTGCGCACGTGCCCCTGGCTGGTGCCCGCCCTGCGCCTGCTCGCCCTGCACCCCTTCCTGCTCGCGCCCTTCCTCCACCTCCTCCTGCCGACCGAGAAGCAAGAGCAGGGCGCAGGGGCAGGGGACGCAGGGGCAGGGGTGCATGCAAGGGCGGGAGTGGTGTGCGTGGCAGTGCTGTGGGGCCCACTGGAGCTGCCGCTGCTGCTGCTGGGGGCGACAGATAGGCAGCAACTCACAGCTGGCCTAGCAGGCTTGAAGGTGAGTGCATGGGGAGAGGGATAGAAAGGCAGAGATGGAGAAAGGGGGCGTTGGGTTCAGGACGTCTGAGAGTGAGGCAGGATACTTGGGAGGGGAAGATACAGGGGAGGGGGAAGATACAGGGGAGGGGAAGATACAGGGGAGGGGAAGATACAGGGGAGGGGAAGATACAGGGGAGGGGAAGATACAGGGGAGGGGAAGATACAGGGGAGGGGAAGATACAGGGGAGGGGAAGATACAGGGGAGGGGAAGATACAGGGGAGGGGAAGATACAGGGGAGGGGAAGATACAGGGGAGGGGAAGATACAGGGGAGGGGAAGATACAGGGGAGGGGAAGATACAGGGGAGGGGAAGATACAGGGGAGGGGAAGATACAGGGGAGGGGAAGATACAGGGGAGGGGGAAGAAGAGGGGGTGTACGAATGGCATGGTGGAGCATGCATGGTTGAACTGGACAGTTCATCCCTCAACCCGTCTGCACACGCACGCAAGTCTTCCGTCTCCTGTCCTTCTCCCCACTCCTGCTCTCCCCTCCCGGATGCTGCTCCAACGCTCCCAACATGACTCACCTATCCCTTCCACTCCCCACCCACAGCGCACCCCCTCCGGTTCCAGCACCGCTCGAGCACCTCCAGCCCATCCGCCAACCTGGATTCCACTCATGACACTCATGACTAGTAGCTAACCCTTCTTCGCCCTCTCCTTTCCTCTTCCCCCCTTCCCCCCTCCACCCACGCCACAGCACGAGGTGCAGGCAGCAGCAGGGGGCGGCTCTGCTGTGGGATGGTGCGAGGCGCTGCTCTCTCAGGCACGCTCGCGCCTTGCCCTGCTCTATGGCTGCTGCTGATGCTGCTGATGCCCGCGGGGTTCTTTCATGGTCAGACGTGCTGTGCTGTGTTGTGGCCGTTTGGTTTGGTGTAACCACTTCGGTATAATGTGATCATTGCTCCACAATTTGACGGTGCACGGCCTTACCGTATATTGTGGTTTTTTTAGACAGTAGGTATACCTGTAGCAGTGCACCAGATGAATAGAATTCCATACTAGCCAGTCCTCTCCTCTCCTGTGTGTAAAGGTCCCAGAGCTGCAGAGTGTTGGGCTGAGAAAAGCCCTTAGGGTCGTTTCAAGACTAAGGCTCAGAATGATGTATTAGCGGAAGCGTTTAATGAAGACTGGTTGAACCACCTTGCACTGGTGTGTGAGAACAAGATAAGTTGATTATAGCAAAGAGATACAGAGATTTATATTATTACAAGGAATATGAAAGGTTTAACTAACCGCTGCTGTTGCGGTTCGATACAGCGACGACTCGGGTAACTGCTCAATAACGAGTCGGTTATTTGTCCTTGCTGTCGCGTTGCCTTTGTCGAGTCAAAGGTTGCTGACCTTTGACCTTTCGCTTCAACCTCTTGCTGCTGTCGCCTTGTCAATCGCTTCACTGTAGTTTGGTTGACTCGGTGTTGTTTCGCTGTGAGTCTGCTTCGTTCTTGTTATAGCGATCGACACATCAGAAGCGCGAACTATATGTTTCCAACACTCCCCTTCGCTTCTGGAGTGTCGTCGCCTTCGTTGCTGGTGACGTGGATTTGTCCAGTCAGCAGCATGCAGTACTCGTACTTCTGCTTTCCGAGTTTCTTGGTCAAGTAATCTGCTGCCATCTTGGATGTGGGGCAGTAGGATAGCTCGAGTCTTCGTTTCTCGATCTCGTCTTTCACGAAGAAGTATCGCAGGGTGATGTGCTTCGTCCGGTTCGCGAACCCGTTTTTGTTCGCTATGCGAATTGCAGATTGGTTGTCGCAGAAGAGGGAGAAGTTGGGTAACTGGACGAGCTTTGCTTCTTCCAGTAGTTCGCGAAGGTACAGTCCTTCCTTGGTGGCCGAGCAGAGTGCAATGTATTCAGCTTCAGCTGAGGAGAGAGCAATTAGCTCTTGTTTGCTTGACTGCCACGAGATAGGACCGACGGGCTCAAGTCGATAGATGTAACCGGTGCGCGATCGCCTATTGTCAGAGTCGCCTGCGTGATCAGCATCCACGTAGCCGATTAGCTTTGGAGTTGTGGTTCCGGTTTTGTGGTAGGTTAGGCCGATCGTTGCTGTGCTGACGAGGTAGTGTAACGCGTGATCGAGTTCCGCCATGTGCTCTGCTTCGGGCCGCATGAGGTAGGTAGCGAGTCGGCTCGCTGAGTACGAGAAGTCTTGTCGACAGGTGACGGCTGCGAAGAGCAAACATCCTAGCTTTCGGTGGTAGTCGCGTAGGCCGGCAGGTCCGACCGGGGTAGATTCTTCCTTGTGATTTCCCGCGGTGTAGCGATATGGTGTGGAGATGGCGGCTGGTGTTAATCCGAAGCGTTTTGCGATTGTGTCGGCGTATTTTGCGATCCTGAGGTAGATCGCGTTCTCTCCGTCGAATATGTTGAGTCCCAGGCATTGGGTTACGGTGGAGGAAACCGTGAGTGAGAGATCCTGTTGCAGCTCCCCTTAAAACCAGGTGGTGATGCGCTCGGTGGAGCCTATGTAGAACAGATACTCTACGTAGACGATTGTCAAACTTATATGCTATAGTCTGTCTAGGCTGTAGTGGGGTAGTTCATATAGGGTACAACACTTTTAGGTTTCCCACTTGTACCCACCTGCTTGCTAGTTCAGTAATTCATTCCTTCACTATTCTGACATGGTATTCTGAGCAGGTTCCCTCGTGGGAACGTTTTTTTTTAGGGCCCACCACGATAAATTTTTATTTTTCCTGCCCTGCCCGAAGCGCGCCTCGCGCCTGCCTCACCTGTGCCGTCACGCGCCCTGCCCTAGTGCCGCCCGTCGCGGCCCTGCCTTCTCGGCCCGTCGCGGCCCTGCCCTAACGGCCCGTCGCGGCCCTGCCCTAACGGCCCGTCGCGGCCCTGCCCTGACGGCCCGTCGCGGCCCTGCCCTAACGGCCCGTCGCGCCCTGCCCTAGTGCCGCCACCCGCGGCCCTGCCTTGCCGCCCGTCGTGGCCTACCCTAGCCGCCTGCCGCGGCCTCTTCCCTGCCGCTGCTCGTCGCGGCCCTGACCTACCCTGCCGTCCAGCCGCGGCCCTGCTCTACCGCCGCCAAGTAGCGGCCCTGCCCTGCTGCCGCCCCAGTCGCGGCCCTGACCTAACCGCCAGCTGCGGCCCTGCCCTGCACCCGCCCCTGGTAAGCACCCGCGCAGCCCAGCCGAGCCGCGCCGCTCCTCCGAGCCGCGCCGCCCTACCGCGCCGCACCGCCAGGAGCCAAGCCGCGCCGCCCAGCCGAGGAGCCGCGCCGCCAGGAGTCGCCAGGAGCCGCGCCGCCAGGAGCCGCCAGGAGCCGCCAGGAGGCGCGCCGCCCTACCGAGCCGCCACTGCAGCTTCTGCTGCCACTGCTGCTACTGCTGCTACTGCTGCTACTGCCGCTATGGCTAGCCCTAATGTTCTTACCTTTGATGCTGAGGGGCGTGCAGTTGACTTTGACGTGTGGGTTGACGACCTGCAGCTCTTTCTTCAGTGTGACTCTAAGGACGGAGTATCCCTTTTCGATCACACGTCCGGTGTCTCTCCTGCACCTGCTGCCACTGCTGACAGTACGGTTCGCTCGCAGTGGACCACTCGTGACGCTGTTGCTCGCCTTGATGTTCGTAGTCACCTACCGTCTGCTGAGCGCGCGCACTTTGGCCAGTAGAAGACTGCTAAGTCTTTGTATGACGCTGTCATAGCGCGCTACTCCTCCCCTGCCACTGCTGCCCTCAGCCGCCTCATGCCGCCGTACCTTTTCCCTGACCTTGCCGCCTTTGCCACAGTCGCTGACCTCATTACCCAGCTCCGCACTAGTGACGCCCGCTACCGCGCTGCGCTTCCCACCGAGTTCTGTGCCAAGAACCCCCCCCCCCCCCCATGTACATCACCCTTTACTACCTAGTCACCCGCCTCCCTGACTCCCTTGCTTCAGTCAGGGACCACTTGTCAGAATCCCAACCACTAGACCATTGGGATAAAAGGGCTTGTTAAGTAGCGGGTCAGTGCGCCCATAACCCCCCAGGCCAACATGCCTGTAACCCTTCCCTAGGATCAATCGGGGATCACCAGTGGACCTCTGACACCCCCCCGCACTGGGATGCCCGAAGTGCATACACCGGGATTCGAACCCGAGACCTTCGCTCTGATACCATGTCAGAATCCCAACCAATAGACCATTGGGATAAAAGGGCTTGTTAAGTAGCGGGTCAGTGCGCCCATAACCCCCCAGGCCAACATGCCTGTAACCCTTCCCTAGGATCAATCGGGGATCACCAGTGGACCTCTGACACCCCCCCGCACTGGGATGCCCGAAGTGCATACACCGGGATTCGGACCCGAGACCTTCGCTCTGATACCATGTCAGAATCCCAACCACTAGACCATTGGGATAAAAAGGCTTGTTAAGTAGCGGGTCAGTGCGCCCATAACCCCCCAGGCCAACATGCCTGTAACCCTTCCCTAGGATCAATCGGGGATCACCAGTGGACCTCTGACACCACTTTCTCTCCCTTTGCCCCAACGAGCTCACCATCGACCTGCTAGAGGAGCGCCTCACTACAGCTGAGAAGACTATAGTTGCTGTAGGTGCTTCTCGCGGCGACCCTCGCGCCCCTTTCTTTGAGGGGTGTTCCCCTGTCCCCCTTCTCCCCTCTGTTGCTTCTGCTGCTGCTGTCGACCTCGTTGGCACTGAGGAGGTCGGGGCTGCGTCTGCTCCTAGTGGGAGGCGCCGCAACAGCAAGGGCAAGGGGGGCAAGGGTGGTGGAGGGGACGGTGGGGGCGGCGGTGGAGGCGGTGGAGGAGGCGGAGGGGGTGGCGGTGGAGGTGGGGGTGGTGGCGGGAGTGGGGGCTTCGATGGCGGCGGTGGGGGTGGTGGAGGCAGCGGCAGCGGCGGTGGAGGCAGCGGCAGCGGTGGTGGAGGTGGCGGCGGCGGTGGTGCTGGTCGAGGTGGAGCCGCGCAGCGTGGAGGATTTGGTGGTATCTAGCGACAGCAGCAGCCGCGTTCCCGTGAGACCCCGTCGGCCCAGCAGCTTTGTGAGTGGTACGCTGGGCGTGGGAGGTCTGGGGGTGTTGGTCCCTGCACTTACGTTCTTCGCACCGGCGGGCGCCGTGGGGAGACGTGCGGGCTGCCACACACTACGCAGCGCTGCTTCGGTCGCCTGACTGACGCCTGGCGCGCCCAGTTTCCTGACGCTGTTGAGCTCCCTTGCTGGGGTGATCTGCTTAAGCAGAATGTTGCTATCTTTGATCTTGATTTCGATGCTATCCTTGCTGCCATGTATGTTGCAACTGATAGTACTGAGGGTGACTGTTACCTGTGTGTTCCGCCCGACCCGGGCATTGAGGCTGCTGCTCTAGGTGCTAGTGAGTCTGCTGCTCCAAGTACTAGTGAGTCTGCTGCTTCAGGTACTAGTAAGTCTACTGCTCTAGGTGCTGGTGAGTCTGCTCTCTCTGGTACTGCACCTACTGAGGCCTTGCACACTTTCACACTTGACTCTGGTGCTTCGCGCTCCTTCTTTCGCGACAGCACCACACTCACGCCGCTCAGTCGGCCTGTCGCCGTCTCCCTGGCTGACCCCTCTGGGGGCCCATTCCTTGCGCACTCTTCCACGGTTCTACCGTGTCCTGCGGCCCCGTCGGGCTTGCTGTCGGGACTCCA